AAGCCAGATCAAAAAATACATACTAAGTGAGTCAGACATACATGCACATGCTCTCTCTCTCTCTCTCTCTTATCTTTTATATTTTTAATATATAAAACATTAAACACATGCAAAACTAAACTCTGGTGATCAGGGTTGTACATTTAAGTGTTAAATCTACAAAGAAAGGTAAAGAAGTGATTATGATAAAAGTCAGTTTATGTTTATCTCAGGGAGAGGGAGGAGGTTGTGATCTCGGGGCAAATAGAGGTTCTTGGGATTGGTAGCATTCTAGGAACAAGTTATATGAGTCTTTATAATAATTTTTCGAGTTGTACATTGATATTTAATGCATTTGTCTGTATGTGTCTTCTATTTCACAATACAAAGAAGGCTTTTATGTTTTGTCTTGTTTGTTTTGAAGAGATAATTTGGAAATGGAAGGTAGATACTGAGAAACTCACCAGGGATGCAGCACAGAGAAACAAAGAGATTAAAAAAATATAAAAGGGCAGTTAAGAGACATGGATGATGGGTTGAAAGGTTCCAATATTCATCCAATATCAATTCCAGAAGAGGATGGAAGTAATGGTAGAGGAGCAATATTTGAAGAGGTAACTGCTGAGAATTTTCCAGATCTGAAGACAGACTTGGATCCAAGTACCTAACAGGATAAATAAAAATAAATCCAAACCCAGGCATATCACAGTAAAACTACAGAACATCAATGATAAAGAGATAATGTTAGAAACTCCCAGACAATAAACTAGATTATCTACAAATGAACCACACATTGACAGCAGAGGTCTCATCAGCATCAAAAATGGCCAAAAGGGATGTGGGAAAAATAATTATTAATGTAGGCTTTTATACTCATCCTCAGAGTGAGGGCAAAATAAAGACAAACCTAAAAAGAATAGGCTTACTATCCTACACTGTCAGTAAAAGAACTATAGAAGAAGGATGCCCCTCAGCAAAAAAAAAAAAAAAAAAAAAAAAAAAAAAGAAGAAACAAAAAAGAAAAAAAAAGTAGGTGGGAATAAAAAAGATGTGAGACCAAAGAAATGATACTGGACACAGAAATAGATAAAATAAGTCAATAAATATGATTTATTGTGGACTGCAAAGAAAACAGTAATAATTATTGCATGTTTAAGAAAATGGGGGAAATGAAAGCTTTAGCAAAATAACACAATTGGTGATGGAGGTGGTAGGGTAAAATATTAAAGGTCCTCATCATGGTTGGAAGATTAAAAATACCAAACAATGACGTATACTCTTAGAAATATATACGGTTAAACAGTATCTTAAAAATCATGCAGGGTACGGTAGCTGATGCCTGTAATCCCAGCACTTTGGGAGGCAGAGGACGGCGGATCACCTGAGGTCAGGAGTTTAAGACCAGCCTGACCAACATGGAGAAACCCTATCTCTACTAAAAATGCAAAATCAAACTGGCATGGTGGTGCACGCCTGTAATCCCAGCTACTCAGGAGGCTGAGGCTAGAGAATCACTTGAACCTGTGAGGCGGAGGTTGTGGTGAGCTGAGATTGTACCATTGCACTACTCCAACCTGGGCAACAAGAGCAAAGCTCTGTCTCAAACAAACAAATAAATAAACAAACAATCTAAGGCTACACACAAAAGAAAAAAAAATCACCAAAATAAAAACATAGAAATGTATCTTATTGCTCCCAAATCAGCAGAGGAAGAATGAAAAAACACTAAAAGACTGAAAATGGGTAGCTATAGTTTTAGGTTTTAAAGAGCATAAAGACTAAAATTTTCATATCTCCAACTTCTAAGCCTAACAACAATCCATCAGATGAAAGACAATATTATTAAATATATACTATGTAAACATTTACAAAAAAAAGGAATTAGTATGACCAAGTGAAATTAGCATGAGTTAACTGATAAAAAGTTTTACCAGTCTAGCATTATTTCCTACCCTTGTTTTTTGGTTTGTTTTAATTTAATTTTTTTAATGTTTGTTAATTGTAAAAACAATTAAGGGCTGGTCCAAGTGCAGTGGTGTTTACAACTAATTGATCACAACCAGTTACAGATTTCTTTGTTCCTTCTCCATTCCCACTGCTTCACTTGACTAGCCTTAAAAAAAAATTAAAAAAAAAAAAAATTAAGAAAACGTAGAGAAAAAAAATTCTAACTACACCGTTAACATATTAGTATGTGTATGTGTGGTGTTGTTGTGCTGAGACTGCTAGATTAGCAGATGAAGGAAGGGACATAAGCTAGATGCAGTGACAACGCTGGACTTGGGAGACTGGAGCCCAGAACTTCCAGACTTACAAGAAAGGAAATGGTACAGCAGGGTGACCTAGGCATCAAGGCTTTCATGTCCAAGCATCTGGATCTGCATCCTGCATTTGCTACTTAATGCTGTCAAAAGTTACTTGGCCAAGGGACTCCAATTTCACTTTTCTAATCTCAGTTTCCTCATGTGTAAAACAAGGGGATAGGAGGGTGTAACTAAGTATGTTGTCAGATGATCTAGTGTCCCTCTCAGCTTTTACAATTCTAAGCATCTAAAAGCATTACATAAATTGAAACAAAATCATAAAGCAAATGCTTGTTAAATCTCTAGATGAGACAAAACTGAAAGAGTAACAGTAAAGAGTGAAAATGAATTCAGACTATATAGGAATAGGCTAAAATCACTATTATAAAATTAAACAGGAAGAAACAAAAGACCTGAATTTAGATCTAACAAAAAAAACTACACAAATACAGAACAGAGCAGACTTGGTTTAACAATGACTCATTTGAAAATGAGCTAGGTTTTTTAGCATATGCTCCCAGGGCCAATAATATGAAGGGGTTATTTGTCTAAATTAATGAACTCTCAGGCTAGAGGAGCAAAAGCAGTGCTTATGGTAGGAGAGGCACAAATCACCCTATTGATTGAGTGCAGGTCAGATTAGATGTAGAATATTATACTCCATTCTGGATGACATGAATTGCAATGCACCCAATGAAAGGAGCTCAAAACTATAAAGCATCCAGAAACCACACGAGATCAAGGTATTGGGTCAGTTTACCCTGGAGGAGGAAGACCCAGAGAAACTGACTGCAGCCTCCTAATGTCGGAACGCTTTTGACAACCAATGTAGTTCCAAAGCAGAGATGTTATTAAGAAGCAATTTTGGGTGCTGTCTTCAGACAGAAGTAGGATGGCTACTGGTAAGCAGACAGGAGAAGGCTTTTCATATTGGGTGGGGAATTAAGACCGGGTGACCACTGTCCCTGAAGCCTGTCCCAGGTCTAAGGCATCTGTAATTCTAAAGCACTAATTAGCCGAGCGCAGAGGCTCACGCCTGTAATCCCAGCACTTTCAGAGGCCGAGGTGGGCAGATCACGAGGTCAGGAGATCGAGACCAGGGTGACCAACATGGTGAAACCCTGTCTCCACTAAAAATACAAAAATTAGCTGGGCGTGGTGGCACATGCCTGTAATCCTAGCTACTCAGGAGGCTGAGGCAGGAGAATCACTTGAACCCAGGAGGTAGATGTTGCAGTGAGTTGAGATTGTGCCACTGCACTCCAGCCTGGGCGACAGAGTAAGATTCTGTCTCAAAAAAAAGCATTAATTGTTTCCTGTGCAAGAAGAAAAAGAAAGCAGAATCATATTATTATTATTATGTTATAGGTAACACTTACCAAGTGCATATTCTATGTGCATAGTGTTGTGCTATGCACTTTCCACAGAGGGAAAGTAGAGAGGGAGAAGGGTTGTAGGATTTTAAGTTCTAAGAAGTGTTAAGATACCTTTAATATACAGGCTAAGTTTTCACAATGCTTCCATCCATAGAAAAGGGGTTGGGGGTCGATATTATAATGCTTATGGGTTGGAAAAGGGAGAAAAAACATCAATAAACTAATATTCTTCATGTGCTAGGCATAATGACTAATAAAATGTTTTAACTCTAGCCAGAAGTCTTGAACTTGTCACCAAATTATCATCAGGCACTCTAAAACATGAGCCTCAATAAGTTTGCAGATCAACTGTATACTTGTGTATTATAAGGTAGCCAATTCAAAATTAATTATATAGAAATGCTTATAAGAAATGTATCCAATTTTATAAAAAGAATACTATTTTTTTGACTTTATAAATAAATGTTTCTAATACAAACTTACCGTATCCTATGGGCTTAGGCTGGCATATTCCTACTATAACATACAAACACATTCGAAACAAATGTTTCGAGTAATAAGTGGCATAAATCTCCTCACTTTCTTTTCTATATCAAAATGTTAGGTGGGGCGCGGTGGCTCCCGCCTGTAATTCCAGCACTTTGGGAGGCTGAGGAAGGCAGATCATGAGGTCAGGAGTTCGAGACCAGCCTGGCCAACATGGTGAAACCCTGTCTCTACTAAAAATAAAAAAATTAGCTGGGTATAGTGGCACATGCCTGTAATCCCAGCTACTCAGGAGGCAGAAGAATTGCTTGAACCCGCGAGGTGGAGATTGCAGTGAGCCAAGATCATGCCACTGCACTCCAGCCTGGGAGACAGAGCAAGGCTCCATCTCAAAAAAAAAAAAAAAAAAAAAGTTACACAAAATTTATTTTTATGAGGAGACAAGTAAAGAGAGTTGTTCTGCCTTCTTGTGCCCAGGGGTTCTTTTTGGAACACTGAGGCATTTTATTTATAAAAACAAAGAATTTTCAAGATGGAAGAAATGTAAGAGAGCCCCTTAATCTGATTAAACTTTAGAGATTTTAAAAAACCTTTACATTGTAGAGCTGTCAAGTAATATGTCTAAGGTGACACAATTAATTGACATAAGAACTGAGGAACCAATATAATCAAGGTCTCCTGTGAGTCCTGACACCCAGATCAGTCTCAGGTTCCTTCCACTCAATCAAATGCCAAGAAAGCAGAATTTTTTGAGTCCTCTGTATTAAGAGTTATTAGAAAAGTGTTAGAAAACACTGAAATTTGCATTAGCTTTGAATGTTTGTCATATTATCCATATCGATTAAAAAGAACTTACTTCCAATGCATAATATACCGGTTTGTCTCTGCCAAGTTTGTAAGCCACTGTGGTGAGAAGGCCATGATCAGAAAATACACACTGTAGGAAAGGGGGAGAAAAAAAGATTTCAGTAGTAGAAAATGAAAAGATAACATAAGAACATTTTTTTAAAGTTAAAATGTTTAAAATGATATAGGTAAAAAATAATGCAATCAATAAAGCAATTTTTAAAAATAAATCTTTATAGTCAAAATGATCAGAATTAAAAACACATGGCCAGGCACAGTGGCTCATGTCTGTAATCCTAGCACTTTGGGAGGCTGAGGCAGGTGGATCACGAGGTCAGGAGTTCAAGACCAGCCTGGCCAGCACAGTGAAATCCCATCGCTACTAAAACTACAAAAACTAGCCAGGCACAGTGGCAGGCACTTGTAATCCCAGCTACTCAAGAGGCTGATGCAGGAGAATTGCTTGAACCTGGGCAGCAGACGTTGCAGTGAGCTTAGATGGTACCACTGCACTCAGCCTCAGTGACAACGTGAGACTTTGTCTCAAAAAAAAGAAAATTATTCCTTGTTTCAAATTAGAGTTGCATTAAGAATTTGAAGAGGTCTCAGTCTAGATTTCCCACCAACACAATTAAAAACACACATATAAGTTTCAAAGAACCTAAAATGGTTCTTATTAGATCCATTTAAATTTTGTACTGAGCTCTAAATTAAACCCTGATAAAGATTAAGTAAAAACTAATGACTAAAAGTAATTTAATAGCAAATTATGTCTAAGCATTATTTATATGAACTTAAAGACTTTTATCAATTTTTAAATTTAAAAAACCAACCTTATGGCCTGTATTACATAGTAAGAAACATCCTGTTCCATACCTATAGTTCAAGGGACAATGAATAGTAAGACAATTTTATTGAAAGCAAATAATGAAACATTAATAATACAAATGATCAAAACTGACATGTAATTTAGTACAAAAAAGTCATTATATTACGGTTTTAGAAAAGTTCCTAAAGTTAACAAAAATCATATCTCTTCACAGAATGATGCTTTAGAAATCAGCCTAGAAGGAAATGTACTCGCAATCTTAATGGAAAAATGCAGGTATAGTATTTAGTGTTTAGTCAGTCATAGACCAGGGCTGTATTTATAAAATACCACTGAATTACAAAAATTCTAAGTTATGTCATAGTGAAGCATCATGACTGACAGCCAGCTTAGCTGAGAAACACCACTATCTTTTGGTGGGGTTGGGAAGCTAGATGCAGAGTGTGAAAGGGTGTAGCTGGACAAGCTGGGTGTAGCTTCCAAAGCATGGAAGAGAAGGCAATTTAAGGCCTATCTTTGATAATCAGAGCCCAAATGTAACATGGCTGATACAGAAGAACTGAATTTATTTTGTGGCAGCCTTATCAGTATAAACTTTGGACTCTGCAACAAGTCTGGCCCTTGGACATTAATAGGTAGTTTTGACTTGTGCCAGGCAGGTAAGTGGCCCAAACTGATATCCATAAGGGTCACAGAGGAACAGTTAGGCTGAGTTGGGGTAACAAGGTGACATTCTAGCAATTGAGAGATATGACAGTGCTCAGTCCAGGGGTTGGCAGAAGGATCCCAGAAGAAGGTACTACCGGTCAGCACTAACTCAACAGATCCCATCAGCTGCATTTTGATTGTGCAACAAACACAAAACCAAGGGAAATTGTTTTCTGACATTTTTCCAGGTACCATTGTTCTGAATAAGGATTAGCCTAGGATAGTCTATCTCTTCTCACTCAAATATATTCTTGGCCTGCTTGATGAGCAGGTGACAAATTCAAGGAGCATGGGACTAATAAATATCTTATTTTGTAAAGACACTTGTCAAATAACACTAGGTACAGGTAATACATTTACAAACTAAAACACAAAATCACTATAGCTTTTTATTGCCACACACTGAAAAAGCTATATATTTCAAGTTAACCTACTGTGATAAATATTCATAAAAATGGAAGATAATTGTCTATTTTGTGCTTTTTAAAGGAGAAATCTGTACCAATTTAGCATCTGTATAAACACTATGCTGAACAGTTGCATATGAGTCTTAAAGTGCAAAATTGATGAGAAGGCTCAAGGCGCTTAATAAAAGTGAATTCTTAAGTGAGTATACTTAATAAGCAATTAATGAATATTAACAAATATGAAGACACTTCTTTGCTATATTTAGGCCACAGCTTTTAAAGCAGTACATAGGAAAGCATTTTCCTCTTAAATTTTATTGTTCTTTCTTCCCAGTTATCAAGCATATATAGAGCTTTCAGCATTTATGTGATCTACCTTGCATTCCTCACTATACACTGTACTCACAGAACACTGTACTGTGTTCAAATATCCCAGAAAGATGTTTTACTTTTCTAACTTCTGCAAAGGTAAAGGTTGCTTGCTCTCCTTCATATCAGATCAGGACTGAGCAGCCCAGAGAGGTGTGACAAAGATGGCACACAGGGGCAGGGGGGTTTGCCCCGATAAAGCTGTGAAGGAGGTCAAAAACTTTATCACACTCAGTCAGCACCCCAGGACAGATGAGACTGCTATCTTAGGTGCTCTTTCAGAAAAATAAAATTTAATGTTCAAATAATCAATTTTTTTAGGTTCTAGAAAAATTGGAAAATACAGCTAAGCTAAAAGAAAAATCAGAATCATCCATAATTTCTCCCCCCACCCTGAACCAGAGATGGGCTTTTCATTGAATTCTGAGCTGACTGTCATTTTCTCCCTGCTGAGGTTGGGAGAAATTAACTAAATTTTCAATCCCAATCTCTCTAACCTCTTAGGACTTGGTCTTGCCTATCACTTATCCCCCATTTATTTTACAACTTTCATCTGTTCTCTGCTCAGACTCCAAAGAAACATTCTCTAGTCTTACCATAACTTACAAACAAAATCAAACAAAATTCCCAATATGTTTCATAATCCTGTTAACCTCATAAACCATGTCCTTCTCTCACCATTCCTGTATGGCTGTATTTTTGCAAAGCACCTATTTTCGATTTTCTACCTGCTTACATCTCTTTTGACCATTTGCAACCAGGCTTCCATCTTGAGCATTCTTGAAAGTCACCATATGAAGACCTAATTTCAATGTATAATGGTCCATTCTTGGTTCTCAGCCTCCATGACCTCTTAGTAGTGTTTTGTATTACTGAGCATGCCTCCCTCATAAATATCTCTACCCAGGATTTCCACGCTAATGAATAACTTCAGGCTAGGTGCAGTGGCTCATCCCTATAATCCCAGTAGTGTGGGAGGGTGAGGCAGTAGGATTGCTTGAGCCCAGGAGTTTGAGACAGCCTGGGCAATATAGTCAGACCTCATCTCTACAAAAAAAATTAAAAATTAGCAGAGTGTAGTGGCATGCATTGGTAGTACCAGCTACTCAGGAGGCTGAGGTGGGAAGATCGCTTAAGCCCAGGAGGTCAAGGGTGTAGTATACTGATATCTCACCACTGCACTCCAGCCTGGGGCACAGAGCAAGACCCTATCTCATGTATATACACACACATATAAATATAACAAAATATGAATAACTGCATTGTTTTTCTGACTTCCCCATCCCAGTGCCTGCTACTTCTAAATATCTCCTTTACTTGTATATTTTTTCTTGGTAATTTCATCTACCTCTGTTGCTTCAAAACCCCCTCTATCTAGAGGAAATTCAAAATTTCCATTTTTTTTTTTTTTTGAGGCAGTCTCACTCACTCACCCAGGTTGGAGTGCAGTGATACAATCTTGTCTTACTGCAGTCTCCACCTCCCAAGTTCAAGCAATTCTCATGCCTCAGCCTCCTGAGTAGCTGAGATTACAGGCACTTGCCACAACACCCAGCTAATTTTTGTATTTTTAGTAGAGACAGGGTTTTGCCATGTTGGCCAGACTGGTCTCGAACTCCTGACCTCAAGTGATCTACCTGCCTTGGCCTCCCAAAATAGGATTACAGGCATGAGCCATTGCACCTGGACAAAAATTGCCACTGTTATACTAAACTTATTCCACATTTCCAAATGTGTGCAACATACAGTCTGCCAGTACCACAAACATGCTCTGAACAAAAATTCTACTCAGACCCTTTCCTTATATTGGCTAAGCCTAACCATTGGGTCCAGGTACCTAGATTACATACCTACTTCCCTTCCCTTTCTCCTCTGCAGTGTCATGCACATCCACTCATGGTCCCCCTCTCTGTCCCCATCCTTCTGAGCCCATGTGCTCATTACCAGGATACTATAGTGGCTTCCTCCATGGCATGTTGACCTCTAGTCTTTCCTCACTTTCACCCAAGACTGCTGTATTATAAACTGACAACTCCAGTCATCTCTGAACACTAGCTCATAAACCATCAAAAGTTTCCTACTGCCTATCAAGAAAAGCTCCTTAGCCTGAATTATAGGGCTTCACAACATGATCCTAGCCTTGTGTTTTTTGTCACTTCCCTACTTTAACATTCTCTACATTCTCTAAACAAAGTCTTCTATTTCCTCATACGTATCTTGTTCAATGTTCTCTGTATCCTCCAATACTGCTTATTTTTCAAAGCATCTCATTACTTAGACAATCTTTCATGATTTTTCTTTCCTCCCATTGAAACCCAACAGCTTTACTTTAAAGTTTCTCATGGCACATAACTTCTGATTTATATATGATTAAATGCGTACTTGTGTTCTTTTCCCTCAGGAAGATAAATATGAGACCAAAGATCTAACAATTTGCTATTTCCCTCTTCCAATCTGCAGTAGCTGCAGGGGTACTCAAACAAGTCCTCCCTAACTTAAATTCATCACTTAAGGATGTGACTGATAATGTTAGAGGGGAGGGGAGTAGAGAAGAGGAAAAGCAGGCTATTGTATTGGGTACTTATCATGTGCTACACATACAGTCGTCCCTTGGTATCTTGCGGGGGGATTGGGCATTGGTTCCAGGGGCCCCTACTGCCCCAACAGATACCAAAATCTAAGGATCCTCAAGTCCCTTGTATAAAATGGTGTCATATTTCATATTTACATGTAACCTACATATATCCTTCTCCTGTATATTTTAAATCATTTCTAGATTACTTATAATACCTAATACAATATGAATGCTATGTAAATAGTTATTATGCTGTATTTTAAAATTTGTATTTTTCTGTTGTATTGATATTTTTATGGTTTTTTTTCCCTGAATATTTTTAATCCACAGATGTGGAACCTGTAGACACAGAGGATTGATTGTACTGTGCTAGGCACCTAAAATATAAATACCATTTGATTTACTAGCAATAGTGTTTCTGGCAGAGGAGGAAAGAAAGAGAAAAATAACCTAGTTTTCTATTTTATTTCTCTTGACTCTTGATTCAGCTGCCTGGAACCCAGATTCCAAGAATGTTTCTAGACTTGTGCTGACTCAAATGCTCTTGGTCATGTCACCTTATATTATCATGACCTGCAAAGAATGTCCACATTCCTCCTCCTCAAAAAATTCACACAAATAATGTCACCCTTTCGCATGAGAGCCCCTGACCCTGCTGGACTACGAAAACGTTTCACCTAGAAATGTTACACATTCCATTATTCACAAAGGAAGAACTTAATCACTGAAGTTAAAATTGATGAGACATTTAGGAAATCCTCAAGAAAAGAACAACTAAATGTAGTCTCTTGCCAGTTGTACAGAAATCTTTTCCACACAGGAGGCAGTATACTACATAGGTTAAGAACCCTGGCTAAGGAATGAGATGGATCTAGGTGCAAATATTGCATCTCCCACTTACTAGTTGTGTGCTGTTGCATAAACTATTTTCTTTAATTCTGTTTCCTGATCTATAAAATGGGAATGACAGGATCTGTATGTGGATTAAATTGTATAATGTGTTTCAAGCACATGGAGCATTATATGTAGCACAATAGCCACTGGCTGAGCTTGTGTTATAATTATCAGTATTATTTCAGCTTTGGGGGCATATTCATTTTTGTTCATGAATACATATAATTGGCAGGTAGTTTTTTTAATATTTAAAAGTTTACCTTTAAATAAGTATAGTGATTGGTGGAACAGAAAGAAAGAGTGCCAGATTCAGACTCAGAAGGTATGGGCTTGAGATCTGGTTCTGCTTTTGTGTCAAGGCTATGACCTTAGCAAGCACATAACCTCTTTGAACATCCATTTTCTCATCGTAAAGTGAGAGTCATCTTCTTATTACTCTTAGATATGGTGCTTGTCCCAGACTCTGCATGTGTGAGTAGTAAGAAGATGAGATTGAGAGAAAAATATACCAAATCTCTACTTCTATCATTCTTTCTGCTTCTTGTCAAAGGAGAAACTTCAGATAATGGAGAGAAAGCACAGTGCTAGGAAAATAACCTTGAAAATTCCACAAAAATATAACTTTACAGTTAGTGAGAAAGACTTAATATGCTGAAAATTATGGTTTATATTATGGCTCTTCCTCACTTCTTCCCATCCCTCTCACCACCCCACCAATCTCCCCAAAAAGGCAAGAATACTTTGAACCAAAATTTAGTTTTTGGGATAAAAAAACTTAATTTTACAAATTAAGGTCTTTATAAGCGTCATCAGTGTGCATATATATGGCATAACATATTTTATTTAAAGATATTTAAAAAATAGTAAATGTATATATACATATTGGAGCTATTAAACTATTGGTTTTCATCCTGGATGAACTTCAAAAGCTTTTCCTCATTCAAAGCACCAAGTGGGAAAAACAAAACAGCATTGGTTTTTAAGTCTGTTTCTTAAACTCACGTATTTTTGGCTTGTCCATTCTGGAAGCACATTTGTCCCACCAATGCAGCAGACTGGTCCCCTAAACACTGAAAGTATAAATGACAATAAAAAACACTGACTAATAAAATAGTATTAATTTCCTCTTTAGAAGAGCCATGGGACTTATTTTTCTTTTTTATTTATCAAGGAATGAACTGTCTACATTTCTTACATTTTCTCCATTTGGCCATTTTCCCCATTTGTTAATACCATTTGTTAACATATAAGAGAATAAGTATGGGAAGGGAAAGTTAAATTAATTTATTCAAAAAATTCTCAATGGCCCACAGTATGTCACATAAGAACAAGAATTAGCCAATTTTGCTACTTTTACTTGTTTTCCCTAGTTTAAAAGGGGCAGACTGATGGAATAAGAGAAGGAAAGCCATAACATGGAAAGGGGTAGGGATCGGGAGATACTTGGTGATGAAACTTACCCCAGATATTGGCACACCTTCCAAGGCCCCAGCTTTCTAATAAAAATTTTAAAAAAAGATTATGAATAATCACAAAATTTTGGCTCTACTCTGCAACAAGGGTGAACACAAATAACAACGTGCCAGAGGATGTGGGCAGATAAGACAAAGAAAGTATTTCAACTAAAAGATGATACAGAGACAGATACTACAAGTATTCCTAGAATGACAGGAAGAGATGTGGCACTGAAGAATGAATACAAAATGTTAGACTAGGAGCCAGTAAATGTGGGCTCTGCTCTTGGTTAGTTAGTTAGTATTAATCCACTAGCAGTCCGCTGAAACCTCTCAATACATCACTTTATTTCTCTACAAAATGGAGACTGGGCTACATGATTGCCCAAGTTCATTAGTGCTTTGCTATTATTGCCATTATTAAGAAATGACTAATATATTCTTGAAATCACTATCAAACCAGTATGAAACATTTATTTTGCAAGGCCATATTTTGGCAACTTTTCTTTCTACTCAAGCTGCTCTGAACATAAGAGTTTTCAGGTATTGGATATTATTTGTTCACAGCAAACATCTGTCTTCAAATTTTGATAAGCAACAGTTAATTTATGTCATAAATACTGGTTTTTATTTTGATCGTGATGGCCAGAATTCTAGTAAGAAAAATGAGATTTAAGTGGCTGATTGTAGACTTTACAAACTTAATTTTTAAAAAAGCACGCTAACTCAAAGCAATATTTAATGATATTAAGGAATTAAGAAAACTAAGAAATTTGATCCCTGAAGTAGGGGTGATGTACTAGGAAGAGCACCAAACTACAGCTTTGAACCTGACTTGTTGGTCTGCCATGTATGAGCAAGTTTCCCAGGCTCTGGGAGGTTTAGATATCCTGTCTGTTAAAGTGAGGGCAAGAACAGAATCCACCTTACATGGCTATGATAATGAGGAAATAATAACATACATGTAGAAACCCTCTACAAAATAGAAAATGTCCTCTAGATAGCTGGTATCATTTTATTTCTTTCATGTTTTCCAGTTAATTCAAAATCTGTTATCTTTATTTACTGTATATATTATTTGAAAATCTGGATCTGGATATTAAGTAAAGGGTAAATTTCTCAAAAGGCTTAAAGTACATCTATAGGAAACCTAGAGGCTATATATCTTGATATATTTAAATATTACAAGAAGTTTTTGCTTATGCTTTCAAAATTAACAAACTATCAACAGGATCTACTACTATGTGTGTTCAGGCACATAAAGTGCTCTTTTTTTCTTCACAGGGAGGGACTTCTGATGCTCCTCCTGGAGCATCCTTGATGAAGCATGCAGAAAAAGTAACAGTGCATTTCCACCTAACTGGTCTGGAAAAGTAATCAAGATATCATTTAAAATAGACATTTCAAACTATATCTAATCGCCCTATTATGCTAAGGCCCAAAGCACATCACAGTTGTACTTTATGAGAATATCAGAATCTCTCATTCCAGGAAACTACCTTAGTCTTTTATTTTAGAACATTACTCTTAAAAAAGAAACAAGACTAATTTTTTTTAATTAAAACCTGACCAGAGCTTATAATAATTTGGAAGATCAAGGATATTCCAGATATATATGTTTAGTAAATGGACTTCTGCTTGTGTCTACAAATAAATGGAAGTGCACTGTATCTTTTCCAAATGAATGGGTACATAATTGGTGGGCAACCTACTCACCAGGCTATGAGAGATTTTCTATAGTCAGCAAGGGGGAAAAAGAAGGATAGAAGCATAATATTTTAAATGCAAGAGAAAACTAGGCCAGTTCAACGTTTTTTTTCTAACCATCCTCTGAAACTATTTCTCAAGCATAGTTTCTTTTTCCTTGACCCAAGTCAGTTTGCAGACAGCTATGAAATGATCAAAGCACTTTTGCTGAAGATAAGCAGTGACTATGCTTCCCTTAAGGAAATTCTGTTGCCTTAAAAAGCTTTATTATAAATGAAACAGTTAAAAATTCTTGCTCAAGCTTTATCCAGAGCACTTAGTGTTCATCTGTATCATTCACTTTATAAGGGAAGTTTCTCATCTTTCATGAAATGTCTAAGTAATGCTTTTTGTAATTTATCACACTTATTCCTGAGTCTTATCATAAATTCCAGATTTTTGTGCTCAAACACCAGTGCAATTCCTCCTAGAGGTTTTCATTCCTGATGTTTAATCACAGACCCTTAGTGATGCTAAGCACACTTTTTGCTGAAACCATGTTTTTACTGGATTTCAATGAAATAAAAAGTAAAAATGTCCATTACAGAAACCAGTTTAATTAGCAATCTCAAATCAGAAACATACTCTTTGCTTTCAGTTTCTTTGCTAAATTTTGCTCATGCTGACAAAGAATCTAATATATAACATAGTTTGGCTATAAAAGAGATTCAACAGGAAAAATAACATTACTAAATGTACAGTCTCTCCTCTAAATTAAAAGCAGACACCACAACTACTAAACAGTTATTTGGATTCAAAGAATAAATTGGCTCATGCCAAGTTAGAGTATCCCATTAATTCTTTAAAAATAATAATACTCAAAGAAAAACCAATTGAAGTTTATAAATAAGTTTATAAATGCCAAATCCATTGGTAAGAAGGACTTTAAAGTTTTTAAGTTACAAAACAAAACAGCTGACTTTTGAATAATGAATAGTCAAGTTTTTTTCTAATAAAAAAACTTTAATTATTAGGTTGGTTTTTTTTTTTTTTTTTACCATTAGGCCATAGATCTCAGAAGAACTCCGGACATTTGGAAGAATTTCCATTGGAATTCCAAAAAATCTAAAAAACAATAAGATTGGGTATTTAACACTATTTTGAATAGACATCTAGAAACATTTATATGTATTTAAATGCAAAAAGTATCAATAACAATTAGAAATGGATGTTTTTGAGCATGGAGTTGGATAGTAATAAATAACATAAGCCAACAGAATATAGTTGTATTCTTAGATATTTAACGTTCTAACTTTACGCAAGCCAATCAATAAAAATTAGAAAGCACACAGAAAACAAAGTACTTTTATAAAGGAACCTAATCTTCCATGAAGAATAATTAATTTGGCCTGTTTATTATATAAGCAATAGTCTCTCTTTAAAAAACGCACAACATAGATTTGTATATTGTAGTTGAAATAGCAACAGTTAAATTTTGGTGCTCCACTGACATCTGAAAATAGTATGATTTTGGTTATAAATAGGTAATATATTGGGAAAATTATATTTAGAGCAAAACAGAACTCACTCGCAGAGCTGTTTATCCCATTCCAAAGAATGAATGTTGAAAAGCATAGTCCTACTTGCATTTGTCACATCTGTACAGTGGACACCTCCATTGACTCCTCCTGTCAAACTCTAAACAGAATAAAAAAGACAGGTTAAATTTGTACTTATTTGGAATTTAATTTACATATTGTTAAGGGTTATAATCAGCAGAGCACATAAAGCAAAAGAATGGAACATTTCATTTATCTAGTTTTCTAGTTTACAGCAGTGTCCAACAGAAATAAAATGTGAGCCACATATGTAACTTTAAATTTTCTAGTTGCTATACTGAAAGCATAAAAAGAAACAGGTAGAATTAATCTTAATACTGTATATTTTATTAAACCCAACATATCCAAAATATCATTTCAACATATAATTAGTGTAAATATTATTGAGACATTTTACCTTCTTTTTTCTGTACTAAGTCTTTGAAATCTGGTGTATATTCCATGCTTACAGCAAACCTCAATTTGATCATGTTTCAAGTGCTCAATAGTCAAATGAGGCTAGTGGCTACCTTATCAGCACAATTCCAGTTACTTGATGGATAAACAAAAAATCAGTTTTGTTTTCACCTATTATGTTTAAAAAACGCAGACTCTTATTAAATTTGGCAAGATGAAATAAATTGAAATATCTGCTTCATAAGGATATTAGATAATCCTGTGTTGTTGTCATCTCTGGTTTTTTCGTTGTTGCTTTTGTTGTTTAAATAACAATTTGCATTATGCTGTCTCCACTCACAGGTTTTAAACTTTCTTTCTCAGGTATACCCACATGCCTGAACTGGAGGCATTGCTACCTTCTTTTACATGGAAGCAGTAAGAGGTAGGAAAGGAACAAAAGTTGATAAACAACATCCACTGGGGATATAGCCAAAACGTGCTCCCTTGAGTCTCCTGCAGCTAACAGTTCCCACATCTTGCCTTACTCTGGTTCGATGCAATTGTCAAAGATACTCATTCAACTGTGACTGACACATGTGAAAATGGCTGGTCATGAACACAAAGCACATTCTGCCCTGGCCAAGCACATGGAGAGGTGAAGTAGGTGCCTCTTGCTGATATTGGTTCTGAAAGACCTGCTCTGTGGATCTGGCAAGTGAGAGTGGGGACAATATTTCCTTGACGTTCCCTTGAATGTTGAAAAAGATCATCACATACTTACTAAAATATTTACAAATAAAATGAAATGTCTTGCATTTGTTTTAAAATTATCTGTGGGGAGAAAGCATATGTGAGTATAGCAAAAACAAGATTGGCCATAGGTTGATAATTGCTGCATGTTCAGTGTAGGCAAAAAGATTCGAAATACAAGTCATTGTAACATTGCATTTGTGTAACAACATTTTCTTTGGCTTGTCTGTAATTTTTAAATTGTCTATGTATATATTATTTTTGAAATAAAAGCAATGTCATAAAAAAAAAAAAAAGAAATTCTCACTATGATTTAGTTTCATATTATGGCTTGATTATACAAGAGACAGTTGTGTAATGTTGAAAGCAAAAGATAAAAGTACTCTAGGTATTCAGCCAGGTGCAGGGGCTCACGCTTGTAATCCCAGCACTTTGGGAGACTGAGGCGGGTGGATTACAAGGTCAGGAGTTCAAGACCAGCCTGACCAACAAGGAGAAACTTCATCTCTACTAAAAATACAAAAATTAGCCCGGTGTGGTGGCACATGCCTGTAATCCCAGCTACTCGGGAGGCTGAGGCAGGAGAATCGCTTGAACCTAGGAGATGGAGGTTGCGGTGAGCTGAGATCACACACTGCACTCCAGCCTGGGCAACGAGAGCAAAACTCCATTTCAAAAATAAAAAACAATTACTCTATGTATTTTATCCTGTTAAATAGTTATTTCTTCTAAGACATGGCTAGTAGGAAAGGAGTATATGACAGACAATAGAGAAAGGGTGCCTGAATTACTCATCCTAAAGATAATAGATAATGAGATATGGTTTTGGTAATTATCCTTCATTTTCACTGAAATAAGACAAGAAAAAATAAAGAGAAAGTAGGCAAAAATGCTGCTTGAATGGAAGCTGAAATGTTTCTGCTGCTTCTTGAGTGGTTTTCTTCATAATGCTACTAATTAAAAAGCCTGACCTGCTAGTAGAAAACAATAGGCAAGGCAGTCTAGAAAAATTTCTGAAACAATTCTCCATATAGTCATTATATTTAAACATACCCAAATAAGCCATGAATCAATAGTCCCAAAAAGAGCTCGTTTTTCTTCAACAGCCTTTTGAACTTCTCTCACATTGTCAAGGAGCCAGCGAAGTTTCACTGCACTGAAGTAGGTGCTAAGTGGAAGGCCTGTCTTGGACTAAAACAGTTGTGAACTTCAGTTAGCGAGTGAAATGTGTAACAGTTTAAAACAAAACCACCAAACCAAAGAACTCAACAAATCACAAAATATTCAAAGACTTTAAAGGCAATCCTATTGTATTATGAATAAAAATACTTTTCCTGTCTCATGGCACAGGAAATCATGTTCATGAACAAAGATTAGGGCAAAATGTTTACAGTTCAAAGGGCATCCACGTAGCAAGGTAAAGAGACAATTAAATGACACAACATCCTGTAATTAGAGAGTGACAATGTAGATATTAATTTTCACAATAAATAAGTATTGTATGTAGAACCTAGCCCAAAACTGTGCTGTTTATTTTATATTCCATGAAAATGACATATGAACTATAAAAGATCAGAGAGTATACCAAATCATAAACTAATGATCATAACCAGAAAACTGTTTTAAAACACGTAAGACTTAATAATATATTTTACATATATACACACACATATTCAAATAACATGAAATTAGTAGACACTAAAGAAGAGCTCAAAGACATGCCAAATTAAAGCAACACAGGGCTGGGTGGAGTGGCTCATGCCTATAATCCCGGCACTTTGGGAGGCCAAGGTGGGCAGATCACTTAAGGTCAGGAGTTCGAAACCAAACTGGCCAACATGGTAAAACCCCATCTCTACTAAAAATACAAAAATTAGCTGGGCATGGTGGTGCATGCCTGTTATCTCAGCTACGTGGGAGGCTGAGACAAGAGAATTGCTTGAACCTGGGAGGCAGAGATTGTAAGCTGAGATCACATCACTGCACTCCAGCCTGGACAACAGAACAAGACACTGACTAAAAAAAAAATAAAAAATAAAAAAACATAAAGCAACACAGAATTGCTCTATATAAAACAGCTGTTGCCTAAATTTAGGAAATATATTGAACGGAGGGAATGTGAACTGAAGAAAGGTTAACGGGTCAAAATGAAACACATATGTGCTTACCAATCTTCCTTGAGAATGAGTTAAACCCAACTCATTTGTGGTTAGTATATTAAACACTAAATTTATACATAAAGGCTGATTAAAGTTAACTAGTCAAGAAAATACATACACAAAAATAATACAACTATGTTTCCCCTCCCCATCCCTATTCTCATTTATCACCTAACCACAGAAAGTGATCACTTTTCCCTCTTATCTCCTGTGACTATGGTTTTGTAAGAAAATTCAAACCAAAGGATTTAATACTTTAATGCAAACTGTAAATTAAAAATTGTAACTCAAGGTTTTCTAGCTTTCTTAAAAAAATCAATGCATAAAAATAATAGGAGATAATTTATGGAAATATTTTTGGATTTGAAGGACCTAGGGTCATCCCAAAAGATGACCTGGGAAGATCCCACAAAGTCAATAGTGAGTTAGTACATAATATCTTATTTTCATGATGTGGGTAGAAAGTGTAAAAGCTGCCTAAAATGACATCAGAGAGAAAAACATGCATCTCTTGAAGTGGAGTGCAGCTAGAGGTGAGAGTGAGGGTTGGGCAGGGTGATGAAGAGAACAGAATAGAAAATGTTTATTCAGGACAAGTCTGAAGTTATTGTGGGGGGATGGAATGGTCAGATTACTGCAACTAATGGGATTACAACAATAGTTTTAGAAGAAAATGACATAAGCATCCCATTGACAAATCAAAAGGGGATAAACACACACACACACACACACACAAACAAAAACAGAAAAAAGGGACTTCCTTTTAGATGCTAGAAGAACTTGGCCTTGATCTTGCTAAAAGAAAATTCCTCAGGAGGCTGAGGCAGGAGAATTGCCTGAACCCAGGAGGCGGAGGTTGCAGTGAGCCGAGATCACGCCATTGCACTCCAGCCTGGGTAACATGAGTGAAACTCTGCCTCAAAAAAAAAAAAAAAAAAAAAAAAAAGAAAATTCCTTGTCTATTTTAAAAATTCTCTCTCCCTTCCTTTATGTGAAGAGGGATCTATATGAGGACTGAAAATTAGGCAGTTTTATTAGCCTTCTTCATGTAAACGAAGTGGAAGAGGAGTTCAATAAAGGGCTAGTGTGTCTTCTACTTTCTCTCTCTCCCTGAATCTAGATGCTTAAAAACTCAAAAGCATCCAGAACATTCTTTGATGGGCAGTAGAAAACAGCAGGGATAGATTTGGAAAGCATAGTTCAATTACAGAAAGCATCCATTGGGAAGTATGACTTAAGTCACTGAGATGCATTATAATCTCCTCCAGCCTGTCAATTTTGGGGTATTATTGTTCCAACCCACCACAGAGCAAGAAACACAGGAAGGTAAAGACTTGAGTTGGCCTCAATTATCCGGGAAAAAGATTCTATAAATTGTATCAAATAACTATTATATCATAAGATGCTTCTTTTTAGTGAAATTTGAAATCTTTTTATTTTTTAAAAAACATTCTTATAGCAAGTATACTTTTGAAGAAATGCTTACCTTGACAAAGTTATTATTTCCTGGAATTCTTTTACTAAGGCTCTCAACAGTAGACTGGGTTCTTAGATCAAGCCACACTATAAACCAAAATATAATAATAAACATGAAAAACTTCATTTAAAAAGTAAGAACTTAATGAAATCACCATCAAGGATAAAACACTGATTAGTTTCTATAAGCAATTAAAATGCTATAGCTTTTAAGAGATAGAAATTAGAAAATTAGAAATGAATGGGCATATTGTTAGAGAAAAATAAATTTTTGAGAGGATTTAAAGGTTTTATGCAAAATTACAGACCAAGTTAGGAGAATAATACAAACCTTAGAGTGCTTATTTTGTATTATTTTTATAGAACAAAACTACAAAAAATGTTTGGAATATAGGTTCTCTAAGCACACATGAGAGCAGAGAATATCTAAAAGCTAGGCAGGCTAGTTGGTAGCACAAAATGCAAAACCCAGCATCATCATACCATATATAAAGTGTGCATCTTAACAAACTAGGGAGTGATTTGTGACAAAGACAAAGTAGAGAACTTGATTCTATTACTGAGGAAACAAAAGATGCAGTCTGTTATGTATGAAATGCTTATTTACATTGAAATCTTTTCCAAGTAGACCCGGAATCATTAGGATACTTTTAAAGGTACCATTCTTTCTCTCTGCTGGACTGTAGAAAAAAATCTCAATTTGAATGGATCAACATTATCTTTACTAAGTAGCTATCATCTACTTTCTAACCCCCTGGTAGAAAGAATGTCTGTTTTGCTTCATGATAGAAGGCTTAAGGAAGAGGAAACATTAAATAGTATATAAAGTAATTCTGAAAGGCAGCCAATAGAATCAGCTGAGCTTTATTTGCCAGATTTAAGTTTTGTACTTAACTTTGATAACTCTTCATCTATTTGTGGTCATTTGATATTTTTAGGACACTGACTGTACTCAGATACTTCCTGAAAAGACTTAGTCTCATAGTCTATTTAAAGGACTCCAAGAAAGACTATACAAGCTTGCCCACTGCCACACATTTGAATGCTAGCAATCATTATGTAGTTTGGTTAACTCTTCAATATTACTCCATTCTATTCATTAAAAAACCAGTTCTTTCCTGTAGTGAATTTTAATCAGTTCTTTCTAATTACTTATGCTGTTATTTCTCTGGAGGGTCTCGCACTTCATTTGACAGTGGCTACTTCCAACAAGATTTAAACTGGAAACTTCAAGACAAGAAACTGGTGTCTGTAGGTGGGAAAAGCAGCAAGAAAAGACTCATTACAAACAAGAAAACAGGAGGGAAAAGAGAAAGACCATGAAAATAGATGGCCTGTAATAGATGACATCTGCATTTGCTGCCTAGTATCTTCTCCTCCTGCATCCGTTGGGGAGAGGTATTTCGAATTCTTTTTAGGAAATCAGTCCTCCCTCATCCTCAGCCATGTAGTGTGCCGGAGATTTGATCTGACTCCCAGCTCCAGGAATGGGTCTGGACCCCAGTGACTGGATCAGGAGAGAACATGTGGTCAAAGAAGTGTGTGCTCAGTCTGCAAGAGTCCCTCTTCTCAGCCGACCTTGGCAGTGTGTGGCGTGGGCCTGCTGCCCTCATGAAAGGAGGAATATGCCACATCAGGAGTCATCCCAGAAAAGGCAGGCTTGGGGGGATGCAGATGATACTCTCTGAGTCTGTAATCCAACAGCACCTGAACTTATCTACCCTTGGATTGCTGCTTCCATGGGAGAAAGACCTCCCCTCTGCTTTAAACTTCATTTAGTTGAAATTGAATTTTCTATCATTTGCACTGTGATTGAAAGCCATTAGTGACTTCATCATGGAGGTGGCAAGATCTCCCATGTCCAGTGAACGAAGGCAGTCTACTTTTACACAGTGACAGTGCTGTATGACTGTGACAAAAGTGGACCTCCCTTACAGGTGTTACTGGCTTACAAAAATAACTAGAAAAAGAAGAATTAGAAAAGTTTTAAATCTATGATAGGTAGAATTAACAAGCACATCTCAATCCTCAGTGTTTCAAACTATAGTGAGCCATGAGTTTAAAAATGAATTTAGTGAGGTTTGATTACCTACTTTAAAAATTGAAATAGGATGAATTCGAATGGAAAATATCAGAGTTCACTGTACTGGGTAAGATAAATATTGATTTGTGAAACTTTTGTTTTAGTTATGTGGATTTGCTGAATCATTAAGTAAAACGTAATTCTTACCAAGGGACATGAACAAATACATTTGAAAGCCACTGCTCTAGGCTTTTTTGGTTAATGACTTAAAATATTCTAGAGCAGTGTTTTTTCATATTTTAATGGATATAACATTCACAAGGGAGCTTAAAGATGGGTTCCATCCCCATAAATTCTAAGATAGTAGTTCTGGGAAAGAGGCCCAGAAATCTTGACTTTTAAATAGGTGCCCCATTTTGAGAAACACTGCTAGACTTCACAGCAGTGGTTCTTTCCTATAAAGCACACCAGAACTACCTGGAAAACCTTAAAATCCAGGCCCTACCTTGCAAGATTCTGGTTGCAGGTCTAGGCAAGGCCTGAGCCCTGAGCCTGTATATTCTCTATGCTTTTGTTAAAAGTATCTCAAGTAATTCAGTAGAATACTAAAACATGAGAACCTCTTTTCTTTCTCTTTATCTCCCTCTCTCTCTCTCTTTTTTTTTTTTCTTTTCTGGAGACAGTCTCTCGCTGTCACCGAGTCTGGAGTGCAGTGACGCAATCTCAGCTCACTGCAGCCTCCGCCTCCTGGAAGAAACTCTCCTTTTCAAGAGCATGTTCTTTAAAATACTTGGTGTGTTTCAATTATTTGTTAAAAAAAAAAATCTAACCCCCTCCCACCCCCGATAATCAGGTGGTTCCCTGAGTCCCATTGCCCCTGTGATGCTATTGCTCCTTGGCAAGGACCACTTAGACACTTTATTCCTCACTTGAAAGTTTGCAGCTATGACTGACAATAGTGGTAAATACACAGTTAAATCCTCACCACAAAGAATCAAAACATTGGATGTGAAATCAGGGAGACCAAAATTCAAAGTTTGGCCTTGCCACCAATAAGCTATGTGACTTAGGCAACTCATTTTACCCTTCTTGGTCTGGATTCTCTAAACACAAAATAAGGAGGCTGGACTAGATAGTCTCTAAAGTCTTTCTCCTTCCATTGTTTCATGATCATAGAAAGCTGTCATAATTACTTTGATCTTATAGTCAGACGTTAAGGCAGTTAGAATACATGGAATGCATTAGTAAAACTGCCAAAGAGAAAAATATCAGTGGTTGGTACACTACCAAGCAATTCACAAATGCTTAAAATTAATTGAATTAAGAACAAAACAATTAGAAAACTCATTAAAGAAGCTAAGATGGCAGAATTAGATTTGCAGAAGAGACCAAAAGCCAAAAGGAAGACCCCCCAAGCTAGAGGACTAAGCCCCTTGTGTCGGTAATTTCTGAGAACAATCAAAAGAAATGACAGATCCAGATCTGGCAGCAGAAGTCAATTTTCCCCAACATATAGGACTTGGGAGGCTGGGAAGTGAGCAATAGCCAGAGCACCAATACCTGAGGAAGTACCAGCAGCTGGAACTGAAGAGCCAGAGGGAACAACGGCAACTGGAACTGAAGGGCCAGGAGAAACTGGAGCAGCTGGAGCATTAGAAGAAATAAGGGCAATTCATGCTAGAGATGGCCAGGTTCAAGGTCTCTTGTTGACCATGTAGGAAATGGTAGATCACTTGGGCAAGTTCATCAGAATGAACATTTTTCTACACATTGGAGTGTAGAAAAAGAAAAGGCAGAAGCATGGAGCAGAAAGGGAACAAAGGAAGTCCAGTATGAATCTCTGATTCAATAATATTTCCATTTGGACGAAGACCAGGTAAATACCTGCTTCTTGTTTAGGATGACTCTTCTCTACCTGGCAACATATATGCATCCTAATTAGAAAAGTGGCTCAGGTGGTACATGACTACTTGTTCAACCACTAAATTGAAATGATACATGATGTTCTGAGGAAGCACAATCCTAGGGGATGTTAGACAAGAATGGCAAGGAGCATGCTACAGTCTGTGTTGTGGCCATCTACTCTAAGACATGAAAGGGCTGCTTTGGGAAGGGAGGCCCCCAAAAAAGCAACTTTCCTGGTAAGACAGCTGGGAGTAAAGGGCACCTCCACAGAAGGGAACAACATGTCTAGAGGGAACAGGGGATTGCTAACTTCCAAAGTAATTAGGAAAAAAATAGAAGGAAAACAGATGCCAGGGAGTCCAGAACACTAGAGAGCCCACTTCTAGAAGGTACGTCTCTCCCCTTATCTACACCAAGTAAAGCAGAATTAAATGGTTAAGACCATCAAATAGGTAAGTTAGTAAAACAACTTGGATGATCTGAATTTATTTGTATAAAATAAAGTCACATCCAATCTGTCTGGTAGATTTAGTTTGTTCTGGAAAAAAACAAAAGTTTGAAGAGTGAAGATAAATGTAGTTCCCTTAATCCCCAGGGACTAGAGTTAGTGACATAGTAACAGTACAGAGAAATAAATTATTTTTAAAATATTTAGAATAATAAAAAAGCATAAATTTGCAGTTTTTTGTTAGTCATAACAATAGAAGAAAAAACACAATAAAGTAAAAAAAAAAAAACCCACTAAAATCATCTAGCTGATTTCCAGTTGACTAGAAACAAAGGCAAATAATAAATCTCTGAGATGGTCTGTCACGAGCTGCTAGGGTGATAGGAAGTGAAGTGAAGGTGAGGCTCCAAGTTACGGAATACATCCTAAGCACAGACTGCTGACAGTTACACAGTGTTATTAGGTTGTTTCTCCTACAAGAGACATGATAGTAAAACAGATTTAATTATGGTATTTTACCATTTGCCAAAAGCTAAGCTATTAATTAAACTGGGTAAGTGGTCATTTGCAAGGTAGAAGAGACTATATTGATAGCTGCCCTTCACCTGATGATATTCTCAGAAACAGGTGGGGCCAAAAGTAAAACAGAGAACTGGGGAAGAACGACTTATTTACATATATGCCAAAAGGCGGGGGCTGAAACCAATTTCAGCACTTAGGTATATAAATGCCAAAATATCAATGACTGACTTGAGTGTGTGCGATCCCAGGTAGGCTCTGCATTTCCCCTAGGAATACCTGTCATGTATAAACCAATCATTTTATCTAGCATTACTGGATGAAAAGGCCATCAGCCAGTTCAGAAGAGTGGCCCTCGCTAACAATTACTGAAGCCTTATAGTCCGTCAGGCCCTGGTTTAAGTATACATGGATGAACTCACTGATCTACACCTCAAGCCTATAAGGTCTACACTTTTCATCCCCCCAGTTTAACTGTCAAGGGAACAGGCACAGAATGGTAGGAAGTGGAAAAGCTAGGATTTTCCCAGAGCCTGAATCCAGAATTAAACCTCTACATAGGTATAGCCATGATGATAACACATTTTTTTTTTTTTTTTTTTTTTTTTTTTTGAGATGGAGTCTCACTCTGTTACCCAGGCTGCACTCAGCTCACTGAAATCTCCGCCTCCCAGGTTCAAGCGATCCTCCTGTCTCAGCCCCCCTAGTAGCTGGGATTACAGGTATGTACCTCCATGGCTGGCTAATTTTTGTATTTTTAGTAGAGATGGGATTTTGCCATGTTGGCCAGGCTGGTCTTGAACTCCTGACCTCAGGTGAACCACCTGCCTCGGACTCCCAAAGTGCTGGTATTATAGGCATGAGCCACCGCACCCGGCTGACATCACAGTCTTAATGGGATAAAAATAAATATTAAAGATTGGAGAACAAAGCTGAAACCTAAGTCAGTTTCTTTTTACTTGGCCAGATTTGAAGAATTCAATCACTGCAAAATACAGCAGTATTTCTTTACCCAGGATTGAGGGAGATGTAAGATTTTCAAAGAATGCTATAATAATGGAATTTTTTAATGGAAAATAAGTGGATCTTGATAAAGCTGAAAATTCTAGATTTTACAAAAGTAAAAAAACCTCCTCCCACAAAGAATGAATCTTAAAAAAAAAAAAAAAAAACCATACTTTTATTGTTTAAGGGTAAGTGTGCTTAGGTGGTTTGTCATCTACGGTTTTCTTTTCTGTTGATTCTTTGAAACTTAAGCCAGTTCCAGAAAAGATAAAAGGATTGAGTTCAAGGTTCAGATCTCAACACATGATCACATAGGTTTAATAATTGGCCAAGTATTCACCGGGCACGGTGGCTCAAGCCTGTAATCCCAACACTTTGGAAGGCCTAGGCGGGCGGATCACCTGAGGTCAGGAGTTTGAGACCAGCCTGACCAACATGGAGAAACTTCATCTCTACTAAAAATACAAAATTAGACAAGCATGGTGGCACATGCCTATAATCTTCGCTACTTGGGAGGCTGAGGCAGGAGAATCACTGGAACCCGAGAGGCGAAGGCTGCCACTGCACTCCAGCCTGGGCAACAAGAGTGAAACTTCATCTCAAAAAAAAAAAAAAAAATTAGCCCTGTATAAACCAGTATGTTTAAAAAAAATGTAAAAACAATAACCAATCTTTAAAATTGCAACACTCTGCATAAAGAGTTTTGTGTGCCATTGGGAACTTTAAATCCAACATCTTAGAAAAAAATATTTGCACTACCATTTAAATACAGAAAAATGTTTCAGAGACAATGAAATTATTTTTGTGAGTGGTTTTCTTTAATATACTAAAAGTGTTAAACCAGGGACTCTTGCCTTGCTGGATTAGTCCCTACCATGAATGGTATTTTTATGTTAAATCAAGAATTCTGCTCTATGGAAAGCTACCAGAGTGAGGGTTATATTGCTCTATATTTACCATGCATACCAATCAATTGCAGTGGTGAGTGAGCAAACTTGGCCAATTAGGGGGAAATACAGCTAGGCCATTCTAGTTAGGACAGAACATTTTCGTGGTAGTGTCAGTAAAATGTGTGTGTAAACATACTAAACATCACTGATTCAAGCCTTCTCCCACTTCACATTTTAATTACTTGGGTAGTTTTGTGCTTCTTGATCAGTTTAGTATGTGGCTTATTTATTTTTTCAATAATACTTAGAAGACAACCAGTTATGTAGACCATTAATAAAAGCTGGTTTTGGAAGGAGAAGGTTTAGAAAAGTGGGTGGGTAGAGGAAACCCTGTGAAAGGGAATATTGAAGAGAATGCTGAAAGGGAGAGAGAGAAATACCAGGAGGACTAGGATAACTGAAGAGAGGCAAGAGAAGCCAAAGGCCTGCTTCAGATCCAGGGCCACAAAGCTCTTGCCAATCCACCAATGAGGTCATTATTGTAAATGCTTGCATCATGGCACAGTGGCTGGGAAGCAGCGATGCAAAGTGATATTTCCCCATTTTAGATATCACGTTAATGTTTACCTTGTTAATCACAGAATTAACACATAAATTCTAAAAATATATAGAACTTCTAAATTAGGCCATCTGTTCCCCAATGGACCCACTTAAACTTGTTTCTATGTTTATAATTGTATCTGTTAGAAAAGATGTCAATAAATATACCTTTATTGCAAGCAAAAGCAAATAGCGGCCAGGAGCGGTGGCTCATGCCGGTAATCCCAGCACTTTGGGAGGCTGAGGGGGGCGGATTACCTGAGGTCAGGAGTTTGAGATCAGCCTGACCAATATGGAGAAACCCCGTCTCTACTAAAAATACAAAATTAGCTGGGCATGGTGGTGCACTCCTGTAATCCCAGCTACTCGGGAGGGAGGCTGAGGCAGGAGAATCACTTGAACCCCGGAGGCAGGGGGTTTCGGTGAGCCAAGATCATGCCACTGCACTCCAGCCTGGGCAACAAAAGTGAAACTCTGTCTCAAAAAAACGTGTCATACAAAAAAAAAAAACCCAAAAAACAAAAACAACAAAAAAATAGCTCTTATCACTCTTTAACTTCACCAAGCCTATGCCATAGGCACCAATGATATCCTGAAGTTCTCCTAACTAGGTTTTCCTGTTACTGTAGTGGGGGTGAGTGAATTACTACTTATCAAGTGTCCCTGAGGCATAAACAAAGGAGGCCACATAGAAGTTTTTAAAAAGGGAAACAGAAGCTGCTCCTCTCATATGCTTGTCTGTAAAAATTATGCTCATCTGGCCAGGCACAGTGGCTCATGCCTATAAACCCAGCACTTTGGGAGGCCGAGATGGGAGGATCACTTGAGGCCAGGAGTTCAAGACCAGCCTACTCAACATAGCGAGACCATATCTCTATTTAAAATATATATACTTATATACAGCTATATATTCTGTTATATAATTTAGTAAGACAGAGACATGAAGAGGAAAAGGACAGGCCTAGAGTAACAGAGATTTACAAGAGAAATAGACAAGGAAGGAAGAAAACATACAAAGAGACTGCTGTGGACTGAATATATGTGTCTCCTCCAAATTCATATGTTAAAATCTTAACCCCTAATATGATGGTCTTAGGAGATGGGAGAGATAAACTAGGTCTTGAGGGTGGAGCCCTCATTAATGAGATCAGTACCGTCATAAAAAAAGGAGAGAGCTTGCTTTCTTTTTATCTACTCTCTGCCATACGAGGATGAGAAGACAGTCATCTGCAAACCAGGAAATAGGTCCTCACTAGACACCAGAGGGGTGTGAGCAC